TTTTACAGTCTTTTTTTGTATCTAATAAAGGCAGCTCGCCATTCCAGACTTGCTAAGTTCAATTCAACTTTCTGCATAATATTTAAGATTAAGTAAACATTAGAATCTTACCAACTCAGATTTTCTTCACAATGGAAATACAAATATAGCCATTTTATTTATTTCCCAAAACGTGCAGTGAACCTGTGATGTCTCAGATGTCACTCAAAGTATTCAGTAATTTGGTAATTCAATAATAATTTTCTGTGAGGGAGCTTTTAGAGGCATTAAATGCTTCTGTCTGGTTCCTACCACCACCACTGTGAACAATGGCTTGATAAGTTTCTCTAGAATGGAGCATCTCACATCAAACCACTCTAAACAATTTTGTTATCGTTATCTTAACCACTTAATTATGCAGACATTTAGGAAAATCAGTGGAATTCCACTTTAATTTAGCAAGTCTGGAATAGTGAGCTGCCTTTATTAGATACAGTGAGGTAGAACTGAGCATGAGTGAGGAGGTAAAAACAAACATGAGAAATGAGAGAATGATGAAAGACCGCTTCCAATGAAGGGAACTGCAGAAGACACTAGAGTGAGTGTTAGCATTTACACAATAAAGAACACTTTTCAGTCTTTTTAAAGTTAAGAATGAACTTTTAACTTTCCATAAAAACAGCTATGATAATAATAATAATTTATTGTTATTAAAATTAATATTAAAAATGATTGTTTTCATATCTTATCAGTATATCAGTATAATAGTTGTGTTGAAATAACTGCAGTGTGTATTAGCACTTTTAAATGTTTTCAGCCTATTCTAACAATATGACAAATACTGAAAACAGCAATAATTGACAACTCATTTTTCATATCGTCCAGTCCCTTTCAGAAAGCACATAGATTACTATTTAAACCAAGGCTAAGGTGAAAGAGGCAATTCTCAGTGAAAATCTCTCCTTTGACTTAAATGATATGACATGACATGATGACACTTTATGAAAAAGACAGACTGACTGTTGTTAATGGTAAGTGATACAATACCACAATACTTCAAGGCATTTTCTTGATACACAGTGTGCATCACCAATTTTCTCTTTCTAACTCTTTCTAAATACCTAAAGCTCCAGCCCGGTGCTATATTTCTATTATTTAACTTTCGGTTGTTTAATTTGAGTTTGTGTGGTATTTGAGGTCTGACAATATCAGTCAGTAAAGCTCTGTTTAACTAAAACTACTGGAGTTAAAACATATGAATATAAATATAAAACAATATCAGATGATGATATCAGAAATTTAACCCCTTAAAATCTGTATCAGGCAGAAAATGGTCAGTTTGATTGGACCCAGATTTTACTGCTCTCAAATCTGACACACAATTATAACACACACACACACGCGAACACACACATACTCACCAAGTAGTACAAACCCAGTTATCATTCATTTACTCTCTGAACTCTGAATGAAACTGGTACAGTGGTACAGATGCAACAGTACAGCGTGTCATATTATATCATTCGAGACAATAAACATCTCAATTCAAGGAACATGAGCATCAAACCATACATCCAACAGATTTGAACAAATGAAGTTTCTTGCAGTTAGCAAATTAGCTCTGGGCTAGCGTGTTCTCTCTCAGTCAGTGGAATTAGATGAAAACAGTTCATCTGCTTGATGCTGTGGTTGTTAAACTGAGATGACGTTTCTCATTTTCCCCCCTCACACCACATCACTCTTTGATCTGATTTTGATTTCTTACATTATACAAAGCACAGCTTAAAAAACCAGACTGGATCAGACAAAATTCCACTTTGCAAATGTAAAGTCTGTAATATTGTACTTTTAGAAATGTTGAACACTCTAATAAACTAATGACGGAAACTTTAATGCATAAGTATTTCCTCACAAAAAAGATCTATAGAAATACTACAGAAATTCTACAGAATTATAGGCAATTTTTACACATTCCTTCCATTTTCATTCATCTTTAATGCTTCATTTTAAATCCACTGTGGTGGTGTACAGACGTACAATTACAAAAATTGTGTCACTGTCCAAATACTTTTGGATCTTACTGCAGTTTACTACAGGATACTACACAATAAGCTGAAAGGTTAATCGGTTTTATATTGAACTGTAACCTAATAATGCCGAGCTTGTGAACTGGCAGTCTGGAACACTATATTCAGCATCTGAGGTCTGAAAATGGACTTGCTGGTCTCCTTGGTAAAAAAAAAAGACCTGGAACTTATTTTATGGAAAATAATCACATTTAAATTGTCATTGCAATATTGGACAGAAAAAGACAATTATACACTTTCCCCAAATTCACTATGCTTCACACAGTGAAACTTCCATGAAACTAAATTGCACTGGAGCTGCATAATGTGAAGCCTCCTGCAACTCACTTGAAACTCACCAGCAACAGCTGCAAGTGTCTCAACCTGTGTCTGAGCCAATCACATCATGTAAACATATCAAACCACACAATTTCAAACAACTGGATAGTCAATGGACAGTAAATTAGATGGCTGAAAATTAGGTCTTGCTTGACTTTATACAAGATTGCTAGTTTTCCATTTTATCAGTTTTTAAAGCCATGACAACAAATGTATCTCAAAGGTAACCAGCTGTGCTAACTAGCCAGGTAACACTAACAGCGGTGTAAAAGGCTGCTTGTGTCAGTGTTTATTCTTCTTTCACCCGCTGTTCATATGATCTGTTTAGTTGGGTTACACATGTCTTTTCTCTTGATGCCCCTTGATTTTACACAGAAGTAAGTACAACGGTAAAGTCAAACATACAGTAAAGAAACCTACATAGATAATATACAAAGGCTGTACACGTGCTGCAAACATGTAAACAACCCCAGGTGGATAAACTTATACACTTATAGAAAAATCTTATAAAAATTGGTTCTTCAAGGGTTATTTAGCAAAGAAAATGATTCTATATAGAACCATGAACATTCAAAGAACCTTTTGCATGATTAAATGGTTCTTTGCATGGTGACAGGTTCTTCAGATTGATAGAGAATGTGCTGTAGATGGTTCTATGTTTTTTAAAAGTGTTCTATATACCATCAAAAAGGGTTCTTCTATTGTAACAAGCTTGATATCGTAAGAACCCTTTTTGGTGCTATATAGAACCATCTACAACACATCAATCTCCATCAGTCTGAAGAACCCTTTCACAATGCAAAGAACTCTTTAATCATGCAAAAGTTTCTTTGAATGTTCATGGTTCTATATAGAACCATTTACTTTGCTAAATAATCCTTGAAGAGCCGTCTCAGCAAAAACGATGGCTAATAATTACTGGAGTAATCAAACTAGTTGCATGAAGCTTTCAGCCTTTTACACAGAAAAGGCCAGCCTTACATACATAAGTAAATATGGCAGATTAATGTGGTAACATACAGCGCTATAGAAAGCATTTTTTGTTTCTTTTGTATTAACACAAGGCAAAATTTTAGCCAGTCCTTATTCGTATATAAACACATTGAATCTGTACACCATACATCGTGCTGAACAGATTTATGAATTCTGTGAATCGTTACACTCCTATGCAATTACAGCAGTATTTGAGGCTGTTAGGCATCAATGAGAACGCTACGTTGGCGTCAGAATTGACGCTAAATGTTGTTAACGACCAACAAGAACCACAAAGGGAGATCTGACTCATTGACTAAACAAAAAACAGCAATGCCTCGACCAGTATAAACACACACAGAACAGTTTACACACTGATATCAGGAATTTCTAACAGCATAATATTGTTATATGGCCTCTTCTGCACATTGGTGACCCACCAAAAGTTTGAGGACACATTGCCCTTTTCTGCCCTTTGAATTTTCTCTCTGTTGCTTTTCAACGAAGTGAGAAATCATACCAGCAAACGTTCTGCAAGCATAAAACAAGAATTTGCTATGCTAATTTGCTGGGCTAAAGAAGAATTCAGATTTTTCAAAAATACTTGCAAAATGAAATGGTCAAGATATAAACAAAGTGACTGTAGCCCATCTGTTGATGCACATCATTGGTCAGTTTGTGATGATTTTAGCTGTATACTGCAGAGCGGTGGTCCTAGCAGTGACAGTGACTGACTCATATCAGCAAACACACACATACACATACACTACCATGTCAGTGTCACTGCTGTGCTGAGAATGACCCACTCCCCAAATAATATCTGGTCAACCGCAGCCCTGTGGTCAGAAACTGACCAATGATGAATGTGGTAGAGGGGGCTAATAAACTCTGCAATAACAATTGAGTTATACTCTGTAACTGTACACCAACACAGTGGACCTGAAAGATAAGTGGAGCTCAGGAGCTCATAAAACAGCCAGAAGGCACACAAGGTAGGTGTTTCTAATAAAGTGGCCACTGAGTGGAAGTACAAGGTAGGTGTTTGTAATAAAGTGGTTGGGGAGTGGAAGCACAAGGCAGGGGTTTCTAATAAGCTGGCCAGCTTTAATAAAGAGGTCATTCAATAAAGGTTTATCAGTAATGACAGTTATAGATAAAGTCTCACTTTATTTGAAAGTGTTACTTTTCCAATAATTGCCAAATAAGCGACACATATGAAGAACATTAGTGCAAAACTAAGACCCAAAGTTTTTTTTTAACGGTTTCTCTATTCATACTCCTTAAGGTGATGAAATCAGCGTTTGCAGCTTAACGTGGAAAAGTTTTCACCCCCTCTACACACACGCACACTCCCCCATCAGAAAAAACACATCAGTGTCCACTAACTGCAAAAACCCTGCCCTGCTCAATCCAGCCATGTTGCCTATTTTTATCCACGTTAACATAATGTTAATAATTAATATCTTCACTGTTTTCCCATCACTAGAAGTGCATAAACTCAGCATAAACGATGGAGACTTTTGCATAGATGGCTTCTCTTATATAATACAGCTTTAGCCAGGGTTAGCTACCGTGCTAATTACCGAGCAAACGACCACGAAACGTGGCTTTTCGTTATAATGTACAGGATTTCTGCATACTTACTGCACATTTTACTCCATAGCAGAGATGTGGCGGGGCGGATAAGTCCGAAAACACGAAGTTATAATGAAGATAAATCAACAGGAGCTGAGGGTTAAAAATCCCGTCCGCACACTCGCAGCCCAGCAAACAGCAGCAAAACTTTTCCACCTAGCCATCCTGAAACCACATCAAGACTTGTGAAGAGAAAATAAACCTTTTTAAAAACTAGTATCCTAGATGTTTGCTTCTTTATCGATGGATTTAGTGGTTTAAAAAGCGAAAAAAATGTATTGCAGTGAAGTTACACTCCTTCACTGAATCGTATTTCTTTCACACCCGTATTGGACAAGGCTCCGCCCCTACCACGCTGAGATTGGCTAATAGTTCTTACTCACAAGCAGCACGCCAGAGGGGCGGGGCTTGACGGAAATCGGGTGGTTTACAAAAATAAATAAAGCGAATGGGGCCTCACCGTGGAGCAAACGAGGTATGAAGTTGTTCTTAGATTTAAAACAAATGTTGAACAGTTCCAATCAAAACTTCTTCACTTATGAAAATATAAAGTGATTTTTACTAGATAAAAATATTAACTTTTGTGATAAATCAGTAATTTTGTTATTTATTACTTTTTAAAGACTTTTAAAGTGTTTATGTTGTATTACATTGTATTGGTTATTAAGGTACAGATAATAAAGCTGTGCTCTATTATTAATGTATTTTTATAAATATCAACAGCACCTTGATGTAATCTCAGGTAGGATAAATTGTAACTATTTTATTTAGAAAAATTAAACAGACACTCAGTAACACTCAAAAGACCCTCAGAAGTGACTATAAACTTTACAGCTTCCTAAAAATGGTCTTACACTAAACCTCTTCTTTGTTTTAAGTTAAAAGCTGTATTAGTAATATCCATGTGGTTTATTTCATAGAGGGCTATCAAATCCCTATATAAATGAGGTTTGTCACTAGCTGACCTTTATTTGTTATTCTATATCAGCCTCTTGTGGTGACACAAGTATACACATGAAACACTGAGGTACTACCAGACAAAACGCACTTTCAATAACCTCGGCAAACACAGTTAAAGGCCCGTATTACACCTGAAGGGCACATTTTCCATGTGAAGTCTGTGGTATTTTATGTACCACATAATTTGTCAATTTGTCATAATTTATACTTTACAATACATTATTACTATTAATGACATTTTTCCAACCTTTCTTTATATCTTAGAATGAATTGTTTTTGGTACTGTGCCTTTAAGACTAATATACATGAATGACCTTGGTTCTGATTGCCCTGTACTGTCTTGTTTAAAAAGCACTTTTTTTAATGGGTGGGGCTAAACCACTGTTGGCTGAATAGGTGGATATATGTAAATGTGCTGTTTGTTGTAACATCTGGGTCTTGTCTCACAAAGCAGGATTTATGTCTTAGTGAGCTAACTGTAAGATTATTTCTTAGACTGGATTATCCACCTCACGGTGGTGGATCACTTTTTACCGGGATATATCACCATGTCAACTTACAACCCCATTTCCAAAAAAGTTGGGACGCTGTGCAAAATGTAAATGAAAACAAATGCTACGATGTGCAAATCATTTAAACCCTATATTTATTTGAAAATAGTATAAACAAAACCTTTTTAAGTGCTAAAACTGAGAATTTTTATTGTTTTCTGAAAAATATATGCCCATTTTGAATTTGATAGCAGCAACATGTTCCAAAAAAGTTAGGACGGGGGCATGTTGACCACTGTGTTTCATCACCTCTTCTTTTAACGACTGTAAGTGTTTGGGAACTGAGGAGACCGACTGCTGTAGTTTTCAGTGTGAAATGTTTTCCCGTTCTTGTTTGATATAGGATTTCAGCTGCTCAATGACAGGCAGGCCAGTTTAGTCCTCTTACTCTTTTAATACAGAGCCATGCTGTTGTAACACATGGAGATTGTGGTTTTACATTGTCTGGCTGAAATAATCAAGGCCTTCCCTGAAAAAGACGTCGTCTGAATGGCAACATATGTTGCTCCAAAATCTGTATATATCATTCAGCATTAATAGCGCCTTCACAGATGTGTCAGTCACCCATGCCATGTGCACTAATGCACCCCTATACCATCACAGATGCTGGCTTTTGAACTGTGCGCTGATAACAAGCCAGATGGTCTTTATCCCAGAGGATACCGTGTCCCACGGTGTCCATGATTTCCAAGAATTTCAAGTGTTGATTTCTCAGACCACAGGACACTTTTCCACTTCCCCTCAGTCCATTTTAAATAAGCTCAGGCCCAGAGAAGGTGGTGGTATTTCTGGGTCTTGTTTATATATGATTTCTTCTTTGCATATTAGTTTTAATTTGCATTTAAGGATGCAGTGATGAACTGTTTTCACAGACAGGGGTTTTCAGAAGTGTTTCTGAGCCCATGCCATTTCCACTGCATAATCATGTCTGTTTTTAATGCAATGCCACCGGAGGGCCCAAAGATCTTGGCCAGCCAATACTGGTTTTCAGCCTTGTCCCTTACATACAGAGATTTCTCCAGATTTTCTGAAACTTTTAATAATATTATGTACTGAAGATGATGAAATCCCCAAGCTCTTTGCTATTTTATGCTGAGAAACATCATTCTTGAATTGCTGCGCTATTTGATGGTGCAGTCTTTCACAGAGTGGTGAACCCCTCCTCATCTTTACTTCTGAAAGACTCAGCCTCTCTGGGATGTTTTTTTTATACCCAGTGATGTTACTGACCTGTTGCCAATTAACCCTCAGGTGTTTTTTTTTAGTATTACACAACCAGTTTTTTGTTGCCCCATCCAAACTTTTTTGAAATGTGTTGCTGCCAAAACAATAAACTCCCTCAGTTTTAACATTTGATATGTTGTCTCTATAGTATTTTCAAATAAATATAGGGTTTAAATGATTTGCACATCATAGCATTTTGTTTTCATTTACATTTTGCACAGTGTCCCAACTTTTTTGGAAATAGGTTTGTATATATGCCTGACCGGCTCCAGGGCAGGTTAAGTTCAGGATTTCCGATCACAAACAGCTATTGGACCAATCAGGGCAAGCTTCTGACCCATCAGGGACTAACAGAGCTGGACCCTGTTACTTTTCTTTTTTTCACGAGGTATGTGGCATCATTCATGTAAAGAATATCGCTTTTTAGCAGAGGAAGCAAACTCTGTGGTGGTCCTGTGGGGGTCCTGACCATGAACAGGGTGAAAGTAGGCTAAGAAAGTATGCAGAGAAACAGATGATGTATCTGTAAGACTACAAAGTGCTCCTTTACGGTAAGGTACATGATACAAGGAGTGTATAAGGTGTACCTAATGAAGTGGCTGGTTGTAAAGTAATAATGAGCACTAACACTAACAGCGCTGTTTTTTACTGTTATAAATGCTTTTCTTTCTATATATTTACATAGAATTATTTTTCCTTCTTTGGAAAAAAAGCTGTTTGACTCCTCATGTTTCACACGACTGGCTTTTGGTCATAAACATCACGCTTTTGGTTTTATGTGCCAAAAGGACATAATTCTTTTGTAATAACTATTATCCAGCCTCTCTTTATTCCGTACAATTAAACAGGCTGTTTTAATTACTGTGCCTTTAAGACTAATATATGTAAATAAGCTCAGTTCTGATTGGCTACCTTATTCAAAAAGCATTCAAAGCTGAATCACTCCTTAGTGTGATATGGCTCTGGCAGAATAGGTACATAATCCGTAAATGAGTTGGTTGTCCTGAAACCACAGAAAAAATATATATAAAAAGACACTTTATTATTGTAAAAACAGCTGTCTATTCAACAAGAAGCTAAAATATCACCAAAATAGTTACAAAAAAACACCCATTTATTTTTTACCCAACTAGAAACTAGAGAGCTAGAAAAAAAAGCTTTCTATTACGTTCAAAACCAAACGTTTGTTTCTGTCTTTTCACACTGGTCTGATTACACTAATTGACTGCATTGTAATCAACAGTCCTGGTGTTAGTTAACTTTTTGTAAGTGTTTGCCAAGCTAGACTGCAAAAGTTTAGTAGCAGAACCTGTTGCGCATATCACTAGCAAACGGGCTGGAGTTTCGAGACATACAGTTACGTACTTCATATTCAGAGTTCAGCCACTGCCTATTGGCTTCTATCATAAGAATATGTTGAGTCAGTGGGTTTTCTCTTCAGGGAAACCTGCTGAAATTATTGTCTGTGGTAATAAACCACATGTTACCGGTGCAACAGAGAGAGATTATGCTGAAAAGCGCTGAGATATTCCCTTAAAGGAGAATTACAATTCCAAATTTCAGTAAAATTAAGTGGCTAAGTGTCTAAAGTCATTCAGAGTGCTCTGATATGAAATGCTTTGCTCCAGAGAAACTTACTGAGTCAGAATTGTTCAAAGATGGTGGTGATAACCACCAAACATCTGAAAAGTTTAATGTCGCTAAAAACTCTCTCATAGACAGCTATTATATGAAATATTCGTGAATGCACTGCTATTGTTTAGATTTGAAAGTTTTGGCCCAAAAGATATTCTTAAAATACATTCATGGTGAAAAGATACATGCAGAACACACACACACACACACACACACACACACACACACACACACACACACACACACACATCATCTAAACCGTGTATCCTTCTGGGTCGCAGCGGGCTGCTGGAGCCTATCCCAGCTGTCACATGCAGGACATTTTATGGCAAAATGGTGCCCAAAGCAATTAATATTAATTTAGATTTACTACTATTTTATCATCATCAATGTTACATATAAAAACACACTTCCTTGTTTGTTTTGGACCGTACATTGTACTGTAGACATTACAACCCCTGGTTCTCACCACCACCATTGTAAAGAAATCTGAGTCAGTAAATTTCTTTACACTATTTTACAATAAACCATGTATACACATGTTTATATCTCAACCACTGAATAAGGCAGCTCAAAATATATTTTGAAAAACCGGTGGAAATTCCCTTTACACAGAATGCTGTGTTTCTAATGTACATCTCAGACATACACCACAGAAGATTTGAGAAGAAGTGAAGTTGGGATGATGCACCTAAGAAGAAAAAGATGCTTTCTTTTTTGAACAATACAAAAAAGTCCACTGTAGAAAGAGTTATTTCTTTAAAGAAAAAAAAAAAACTAATTATATACTTGTTGAATGGAAAACATGAGTTCATTCCATCCATGACAAACGTCCTCTACTTCTGCCACACTGCGTGTTTGTGTATCCTCAGTGTTCCTTAATCTGGTCTTCCTCCTCCAATTTGCGTATCTCCTCTTTCAAGAAGTTGATGTTTTCTCTGGAGGCTTTTAGCTTCTCCTTCAGCTCCGTAATCTCCAGGCTTGTTTTCTTCTTCGCTGCTTCCAGCTTCTCTCGCGTCCGCATCTCTAGCTCCGCAACTAAACACACACAAACACACATTTCTCAATATCACATAGCCAGCATGCTGCTGAAACGCTCCCTGAACAAAAGATGTGGGATTTTCAGCATTAATCAGTTAATCAGTAATCAGTCTAGGACTCTGTATTAAAGTGATAGTTCAGTGAAATAAGCATATTCCCCTCATCTCCCCTGAATGTAGCCAATCAGCCAAGATCATGTTTGATGTCTGAAGTTTGCTTCATTAGTTTTAGCACTGGAGCTGCAAGGCTAATATAGCTAACACGTAATGAAAAATGAAACCCCACCAATTAGCATGGTGCTAACTGCATGCCCATGCCATCATACACTAGCTTCAAACTGTCGAGTTGTTAAAGGGCTCATATCAAGGAAAATAGAATGGTTGGTATGCATTTCACTCACACTCTGTCTCGTGTTTGTAGGCCCCCAGCGTGAGTTGCCTGGTGGTGTTCAGGAGCTGCTGCATCATTGCTGTGGGATCCTGGAAAATCTATAGCAGCACAAAAAAAGGGTCTCTACATCTAGCTTACTGATCATAACACAACAAAATGAAAATGACTGACATGCACTACTACTCAAAAGTTTGGAATCACTTATCATGTAACTTGTTTTCTATACAATAACTTATATTAATATTAGTATTTCAACTCAATTTCAGGAACAAAACTAATTTATTAAATGATAAATAATACACTAGTTATATTTACACTGATCAGGCATAACATTATGACCTTGTTTCTACGCTCATTGTCCATTTTATCAGCTCCACTTGTGTCACACATCACCACCACGTCAGTGTTACTGCAGTGCTGAGAATGATCCACCACCCAAATAGTACCCTCTCTGTGAGGGTCCATGGGGGTCCTGACCACTGAAGAACAGGGTAAAAGGGGGCTAACAAAGTATCAGAGAAACAGATGGACTACAGTCTGTAACTGTAGAACTACAAAGTGCACCTATATAGTAAGTGGAGCTGATAAAATGGACAATGAGCGTAAAAACAAGGAGTCATTGGTCATGTTATGCCTGATCTGTGGACAATCATTTATTGTAATTTTATCATGGTTTCATTCTTTTTTATTTTTACATCATTCTATCAATATTTTTATTAGATTTTCTTTTATTGGCTTAATATAATTTCATTCTTGATATTCATATTGCATTCATTTTATCAGAAATTCATTCTGCATATACATTTTATTAGAACTTCATTCTGAATACTTAGTTCATAAGAACTTCATTCTGGATATTAATTTTGTTAGAACTTTATCCTGGAAATGAATGTTATTAGTATTTCATTGCAGATATTACTTTTTAAGAAGAACTTAATTTTGGAAATGCATTCTTGTTGGAACTTCATTCTGGATATTTAGTAGAATTTTACACTGGAATTTTTTTTTTGTTAGAACTTTACATTGAATATTAGTTTTATTAGAACTTTTCTTTTAGATATTAATTTTATTAGAACTTCACGCTGGCTATTAATTTTATTAGTATTTCATTCCAGATATTATGTTTGTAACAGTTTCATTCTAGACATTAATTTTATTAGAACTTCATTGGTTTTATATTATTGAATATTTCAAACATTTGAGCAGTCGTGAGAGAAGGTGGGGACAGTATTAGTCAGAGTGTAAAGTTACTGTTACCATCTCATCATAAAACTCAGAGACAACGGTCTTCTTGGGCATGGCACTAGAGTCCGACTGGAACAGCTTCAGCAAGTGATACAGGGTGACCTGGGAGAGAAAACACTCAAACTCTGACCAGTCTTCCTCCGTCTACTTCACATAGTCACATAATGTTGAACAAATACTGGTAACCACTGATGCTGTTATTTGAGTAATATAAAAAGTAAAGATCTGCCACTCACCGGTCTCTCATTTGGGTCAATAAAGAAGATTTTTATAATGATCTCAAACTCTCCCCAGCCAGTCTCGGTGATCTCATACGGCGGCTTGGTGACCACTGAAACAGGTGAAATCATGGTTGAGTCAGCTTGATATTACTGACGGTACTACAGAAGTAGAGCCAGGACTTAAAGGGTTCAATGAAAAACCTAATTTACCCAATGAGACCCAAACAACTGCCCACGTGAGGAACTTTCAATGTGTGCATAAAATGTGAAACTCAAAAAATAAATGAATTAATGAAACTAAAAGTCACTGCAAAAATGCCAGCCCTAGGCTGACATTTAAAATCATGAAAATTAGAAATCTGGCTTAAATCTACAGTAACACTAGGGAAACATCATACCTCTTAATGGATTTCCATAGCTCTCATGAAGTTTGAACTGGATCTTCTTGACATAAGCAGACATATCCTGAGAATGAATCCAAACAGGTTTTGGTTTGCATTTCTTTCTGGACTGATTTAGTAACTAATACAATGAGCTCTAATTCACTTTGTTTTCAAGTCATGCATAAATAACACATGCACCTGACATAATAACAAAACGCAAAGTTTTGAATGCACAACTCCCTCTATTGGCAGCCACAACGACTAATATACAGTTAATTTCTTAGTTTTAGAACTGCATTAAATATTATATCCTAATGATCATTATATGTGGGTATTACTGCACTTTCAGGTTCCGGCAGTGAGTTTCTGGATGTTCACATTTTTAGCATGAGTGATAGAAACTATTTTATTAGTCATAACGCATTTTAATATACAAAGCTGTTATTAAATGGAAGGAGTTGATGTAATTTATGAAGCATATTTTGGGTTAAAATATGAATATCATTCATGTCCTGCACCTGCAATTTCTATCTTCAAGTGCATAAAAAAGGTAGTTAATAAATTACTTCTTTTAATACGTTAAATCAAAATGTATTTAAATAAATACTTCTGTTGATCAGTAATTTTTCCATACACATTGACATTCATATGCAAAAGTTTGGGCATCCTTGGTCAAATTGCATGTTTTGTTGATTTTTTAAGTGAAAATATTAACACATCCTCTACAGAGAACATACTTCTACACATTTTTATGCACAATTTCTGTGGTTTGTGAAGAAATTTTGGCACATTTTTGCAGAAAGTTGTTTTTTTCAATGTGTTAAACTCAACAAACAAATAGAAATGATGCCCAAAAATCTGCAGAACAATGCCATATTTAAGTTTGTTACATATAAAGAATGTGTTAGCACAGCCTCATGTAGAAAATCAACAAAACACGGTTATTCAAACTTCTGCATATGACCGTATGTCCTAACTGTGACATTAATCAAAATTTCTATTTTTTTTTTTTAAGCCAAGCAAACCTTTCTTTAACAAAAATGTAATTTGGCCAAAGAGCTCATGGACAAAAATGTGAGAAACTTAATCCAAGAGACCCTCGATTCACAGAAAAGCAGATTAAATCATCTTTTAATATTCTGTATTTTCAGCATGTCCTTACCGTACAGCTTATAACCAATGCATCTGTCATGAGACCTTTACAACTTTGTATTCATGTTTAATTCAAGTGTACTAGAATTACTGTAATTATTGAGTTCAAAGTGTGTAAAAACCTCATTTTGCTTTAAAGACATTCAATTCAGATCTTTTCTTAATGTTACACAAATTTGTTTATCTCGTTATTTGTGTTACAGGCTCTGATTAGGGAAGCAGAGTGATGGACTCATATCGCCATCAGCATATGATTACTTAAAAAATAAAACACCAATAGACAGATACTTAGATTTGACATATTCACCAATATTTGAAGATGTATTTGTATTTTTGGTGTGCCAGAAGAGCAGGATGTTTGGGTGATGCTGGTTTACTGCACTAAATGCCTGCATGTCATTCATTTAACTGCATTTGTATCCCTACAGAAATAAATGTTATATTGCTCTGTGATGCTAATTCTAGTAAGATTTAATCCCAGAGAGTACAATTTATAAACAATAATACATCAACATTGACAGACAGAAAATATTAGATATTGACAGCCCACGATTCCCATATCAGAGCATATCTAATGTCATATGCCATTCATACTAAAACACAGTGAAAGCATCTTAACAGTTCAGAATGTAGTGATAAAGACATCATGTCACTGTAAAGACAAATTCAATTTTGATTTTTTTTATTATATGCAATTTTGTATGGCTCAGTATTTGTATATTTGTAACAGACTAATTTTTGTCCACCAAAATAAAAAAAAAAACCTGGCGTTCAAAAGAGCTGCAGAAACACCCACACCTACATCCACATACATACAGACATACTGTATTACAGTAGGTATGTACCTCATTCCTATAAGGTTTCACATAGACAGTCCACTGATGAGTATGACCATCCTCCTCTCTCTTCTTACCAAAATACCGGGCAATATTTCCAAATACAATGGGCTTCACAATCGTCACTCCCTGCAGATAAATGGAGAAAAATTGTAGAGTTTTACACTTTAAGCGTTTTAAATTACAAACTCATTATTATGTATTATCTGTCTTCTTGATCAAATGTTTATATACACTCCGAGCACTGTTGATAGCTACAGCTATAAAGAGCTAACAGCACAACCGTCAAACCAGCAGCTTCAGTATCACTAATTTATACTGTTTGGTCGATAAAATATTTTTAAAAATGTATTTACCTATTGACGCTAGATTAATAATGTGTAAATAACTAGTATAAACAGTAAAATAAGTCTGCTAACTGCAGGCAGCTAGCTAATAGCACGGTAAGCTAATGCTGCTTTACCTTCACACGTCCTCCTGAATCTGGACCAAACTCAGCCATCCTCTTAAACATAGTATATACAGAAAATATATTAAATTCGGATTAGTTTATGAAAACACGTCTGCAGCTGTTAACTGAACAGTGTGAAAGTATGAAACGGCCATGAAGCACAGAGAAGGGTTCACTTCATCATGCCTTTATTACAGCCAATCTGCTATAAGAGTCCAAATGCCTGCCTTCAAAATAAAAGCCTCATTATTTAAACAAAATAAAATAAAATAAAATAAAATAAATAACCAGAAGGCCTCATTTAAAAAGGTACATTAAAGATAATTTGTCTCTTCTCAACAATTCGCAGCATTGTCCTTCAAACGATTTACAAAAATATAATGTTTACAAATCACGCTCTGTAATGCCTGTCAGCACATTGGCACAGATGCTGTGAATTTTTTCTACATCAGGTTGGAAACTTGGGATTGATCTATGCATATTTTCAAATCGAACTAACATTTTATAACCATTATTGAAATGTGAATTTTCATATAAGATTGTTTTAAGATCAAATGTGTCCATATAAATGTTTTATAAATGAGGCTACATGCTTGATTTTTTTCATACACCTGTTAGCAATGCATGTGACTGAAACACATGAACTCAATCATCAGTCCACAAACGTTTGGCCATATAATTTAAGTGATAAAAACTCACTTTTTAGCAGCGGTGGATGAAGTACACAAATTATGTCCTTGAGTTAGAGATACCCAAGGTAAAATATTACTCCAGTAAAAGTAGAACTCCTCCCTTTAGACCTCCACTTGAGTAAAAGTACAAAAGTATTTGCCTTCAAATGTACTTAAGTATTGAAAGTAAAAGTACTAAAAGATTAATTATGACTCTAATGTCCTATTACCATTTTTGTAACAAGACTCTTGCTTCAAAATACTCCAGTGTCACTCTAGGTAAATGTCATTAATTAGTGACGCTGATGTCTATTAAAATTATCATAACCACAAAACACTGAAGGCAAACAATTTCCATCAGGTAGAACCGAGTGGCTCTGAAATCACTTTTTTGCAATCAAGCAAAGTTTCGGTTTAAGATTTATTTGCAACTTAGTCACAAGTTTAATAAAAACTTGCTTTAAACGCAGATTCACAAATGAGTTTCCTTTACTATATTGCATCTGCAGGTCTCTGTTCATAAACATAAACTAGACAAAACTAATTTACTATAAAACGAAATAGTGTTTGTATAAATTCAGAAAAAAGAAACACGTCAGTCACAACTGCATATGTGTACATATTTCTATATTCTGGTCTATTTACACAAAGTTAGGTTAGTTCATCATTTATGTTGAATAGACACTCCCAAAGTTTTACGCTGCTGCACTGATGTTGAACCGTGTGCTGCACTGGGTCGGTATGACCAACAGGTCAAAACAAGCTCAAAACAAAGTGCGCGCTGTGCCCTGATTGGTTATCTTGCTTTGCGCTTCTTTCATTTTGACATGTTATGTTTTTACACACACACATAAACCAAAAGGAACGACAGATTTCTCATAATGTAGTGGAGTAAAAAGTAATACATTTGACTTTGAAATGTAGTGGAGTGAAAGTAAAAAGTCACCCAAAATGGAAAAACTTCAGTAAAGTACAGATACACGAAAAACTACTTAAGTACAGTAACGAATTACATTTACTTAGTTGCTGTCCACCACTGCTTTTTAGACATATTGTTTGATTTTAAAAAATTGTGCTCAGACAAGGTCATAGAACACATAGACCAAAAGAAACATGTTAGACATGGGCATTAAAGTGTCCTTTATTTATTTAGAAAAATAAAAAACAATGTAACCATCACCACATCTGTCGTAAATATGCCTAATCATCTACTAGAGCGGTTTCAAAGTGATTTTCCTTTTTTACCACAAGGGAACCCCCCCTTATGATGTACCTTGAAGCCTTAACGAACTTATGAAAAAAACTGGTCTGGGTGGACACTTCAGGTTGAACGGTTTTGATTTTTTTTCTGTTAGCTGGCCACCACAGAAGGAAGCCAAATATCACTAAACATGCTGAAGTTACTGTTAGGAAGCTGAACGTTCTTTAGCCTCATCGGTGGTCCTCTTTGTGGCTAGTGGGGGCTCTCAGTGGCTGTACGGCGTGTTTGCGTCATGCTGGGTATTGTAGCGAGAAAACACTGATGGACAAAAGCACAAAAAGGACACAAAATCATGAATTCTGTCAAACCGATGAGTATAATGCTGTGCTACAACGTATATCATAACACTACAAAAAACATATTAAAGTGTATTTTAGGCAGGAATGCCTCTTCAACGCAGCGGCCTATTTAACTGCAACGCTGATGAGGATGTTGTTGTTTACTCGCACTCTTATTTTGAAGCACGTGCTCGCGCGCCGCTCTCGTGCTGCTGTTGGAGCGAAATGGCGGACGGTGTGGATCACATCGATATTTACGCGGATGTGGAAGAAGAGTTTAACCAGGTAAACAGCAAAACTCTCACACAGCTCTCTCTTTAACACGGCGCTCTCACACGGCTTGGTGCGGCGGGCAGACTTCTGCCCCGTTATTCCGAGTTTAATTGATCGCTGCCCGGAGAGAAGCCGCTGCGTTTTTTTGTTGCTAACGGCTAAAGCTAACAGCAGCTGCTCGCGCACAATTAAACAACACACCGACTATTTTAACCTGTAACCGACAGATAATCAGTTGAGCAGTCCGGTTCTGCAAATGGCTACTTATTGGGGATGGGTTTGTGCGTGTTTCAGTGAGTTTTGATAAAATTTGTCGATAATGCGTGATGGAGGAGGCGTGTGCGTGCGCGCGCGCGCCCCATTGTTTGTGCTGCAGGGTGTGTGTGTGTGTGTGTGTGTGTGTGTAAAGTGCGTTTTGATTTGATTAAGGAAAGATAACCAAACTCCAATTTGTAGCTATTTAACTACATAAAATGAATTTTTTGTCGTGTTCTGAGACCAGATGAATAGTTTTGTATTGAGTGTTTTGAGTCTCTTTATTTCAGTGCCTGTATCTGAGACGAAATTGCACAGCCTGAAGTCATCCGTTTTGCAAGGCCTTTGCTGAAAAGAAGTTATTTTTTGAGGATTTTATAACGTACGCGACAAAAGTTGCATTCGTTTTGTCTTGTTTTCTGATCAAATTTGTTTAGCTCAGGTCATAAGCATCAAGCTGCAGATGCATAGAACACTTTACACAAAACCACATTGTACCAGACACTTTTGCACCACACATGCACTTTTTTCACCAAAATCCTCTGCACCACTCTGTGATTATTTCAGAGGAAACATTTGCAATGTCTGCACACAGCTGATGATTTATCTAAGCTTGTTCAGGGGAAAAGGCCTATATTTTGGATAACATTTTAGAGAATGATTCCTCCAATTTTTCAGATCTTTCCCAGTATTGATGAGCGTGATTTAGGGTCCCGAAGCCCTCAGTGTAACTTCAGTTCAAGTTGATCTATGGAGCATTGCTTTTTCAAAGTCTGATAAAATTAAACCCCAATGGAAGTTGCATCAGGGGACATTACATATAATGCATTGAGAAAGTAAATGAATCGTTATGCTGTTAAACAGCACATTGCACCATATGCATGCTGTGGCTTCAAACTTGCCCTCCTGCTGCAGGGCTCTGTGTTTGCAGATGCAGTTTGCTCCTGGGACGGAGGGCACTGTTTGTCTGTACTGTCTCAGAATAAAGGCAGAAAAATATACTTGTGCTTCTGTGAACATGTGTGGGTGTCATAAGTGTCTTCTTTTTTGAGCTGTGTTGGTTGTAATAACTGTTTAAATAAATGCGAAAAATGGCAACAGTGAGAGTCAAACAGGCATGTTCACACACACGATTCTGTCTAGAACAAGTCACATGTACTGTCTCAGAGCTGCCCTGCATGTGATTAATGATGTACTGATCACAGTGAGCCAGGATCTTAGTCAACCATTTAGTAATGCTGTTAAGTTTAATGTAAAAATATAAATGTAGTATTTCAGCTTTTGGAGGTGTGCACATAGAAAAGAGTGAGCTGTGCTTCCAGTAAATCCTTTTTCTGTGTTTTCATGCAAGTATGTCTACATGCATCTTTGCAGAATAATTTGCAGAAGCCTTTAGAGGTGCTGTTTCATGTGTTTGAGCTCTGTGTATATTTAATATGCATCTGGGTGGTTGTGCATTCATAGGTAAAGACAGGGTCTACTGGCAGTAAATGATAAGGAGAAAATACTAGTGTTGGCCTAGAGCTCAAAGCTGTTCTGCAAACTTGTGGCACAACAAAAATCTCTCATGCATTTGTGCTTTTAATATAAATTTAATTTCCTAAAGGGCCCAAAACTGAATTATTATGTAGTGTTAGTAAGATCGAAAATTGCTTTAAAATTGTGTTTATTTGAAGTAAAGCCCTAAAAGTCAGTTAACATAAGTCTGTTTTGTCAGTGTTTTGTTATTTATTCATTAATAAAATCAAAATTTTAAGGCAGCCAGATAACTTAGATTTTTAGGTTAAAACCCAGGTTACTTATGGTATAACAAATCATTCTCTTAAATGTAGCTCTGCTGTTATGCTGATGCATTTTGTTCTTTTTTCACTCATCTCAGAAAAATTGTTTGTGTATTGAAGTTTCAGTGGTAATAATTTTGCAGTATCACCTTACCTTACTGAGATGTTGTAAGACTACAAGTGTGTTAGTGAAATGAGTTCACATGAAGGATGATTGTTTATAATATTGGTCTTGTTTTGTAGGAAGCAGATTACCCTGTGCACGAACAGATAGACCTGTATGATGATGTCATCTCGCCATCTGCCAATAACGGAGATGCTCCTGAGGACAGAGATTACCTGGACAACCTCCCAGCCCCAGGGGGCTCTGAGGGAAGCAAAGGGCCTCCATCAAACGTTGTCTACACTTACACAGGCAAAAGGATCGCACTTTACATCGGCAACCTCACCTGGGTTTGTATCTTGTCATTTTGAAATATGTATGTTCAGTCTAGTGTTGCAGTGGCCTTGTGAATCATATAAACGTGAGCTTCATTTAAAAAAAAGTGATTTGTTATACCGTAAGTAGAGCATTATAGAACGCTTTTTAAATGAAACAATACATGCCATATGCCCCCCTACACTTCTTGTAGTGTGCTACAATCTGTTACAATGACACTGTGGATCATATGATAAATATAGAGCATGGCTGTCCAATCTTATCTGCAAAGGGCCAGTGTGGTTATAAGCTTTCACTCAATTACAAAGTAGAAGAACACAAGATCAGTTTTTGAAATCAACTGATCAAACAAGCAGAATCAGGTTTGCTTGTTATATGGCTTCTATTGTTTCATAAAAAAAAAAAAGCTCCAACAGAAAAGAACCTATGTCGCACCTATATTTTCTATAATGTATACCAGTCACTTGGACAGACTATGTAGATCATATGAACATTACAGCGAACTTCTTAAACTATAGTTCCAAAACATCATTGTTTTTCTCCCCTGTCCAGTGGACCACAGATGAAGATCTAACAGAGGCCATTCGCTCCATAGGCATTAATGATGTGCTGGAGATCAAGTTTTTTGAGAACAGGGCTAACGGCCAGTCTAAAGGGTAAGAAAACCTGCTCTGTAAGTGACCTTAATGTTCTTTCGGGGTTTATCAAAACCAGATAAAGAAGCAGTGTGGATTTATAACCCTCAAATATTAAACTAAAAGTTTTGATTTTAATCTTTGTTAGTCAATACATTTTTGTGTGCAGATTTAGTTATTTTTGTGTGTTCATAAACTTGTGCAATGAAAAGTTGCATTCATAGAATTAAAATATTGTCTAACTAAAGGCTGTAAATATTTTTGCATTGTTTTGTGCACAGCTGAGATATTTCTCGAAACAGGATTTTAGTTAGCTATGTAACTTAAACTTAGATCTTAAGTTAAACATGTCCAGGGGTAGAACAGACATTCCTATTTAGTAATCCTCACTTTGGGCTACAGCTGCACGATAAATCGTATTTTTGTTATCGCGATGTGAGTTTCCACGATAAACACATCGTTAGAGCAGCAATGACAGAGCAAATCTAATTACCTCATACCTCAGCGCCAGAGAGACCTCATTACATTACCGGCACAGACCGTTACAGGCCTGCTCCTCTGCGCGGTGGCTGAACCTGCTCTGCTTTGCGGATGAGTGACGTAAACATTTGGCCAACAGCAAAACACGCTCAAAGACCTTATAAAATTTTGTAGGAAAACATTAATTATGAAATTTCACATTTCACCGCAAATTTGTATTTATTTTTGTGTGATACATTGTTGTTTTTTTTTGTTTTTTTTTGAACAATTCAGAAATAGCAGTAACTATTTGAACAGGCCTTTTTCTTTTTTAATCAGTGCAGTTGAACCGCCACCTTCAGATTTAGATAGCTGTGTAGTTGCAGAAAAGGCTACAACGACAGTCAATGCTGTTTTTTCTTATTGTGCATTGCATTGTTTTGCAGGTTTGCGCTGGTCTGTGTGGGTTCAGATGCCTCTTCCAGGAAGCTGCTGGACCTGCTGTCGAAGCGGGAGCTGCATGGACAGAACCCGATTGTAACTCCCTGCAACAAACAGTCACTCAGCCAGTTTGAGCTGCAGTCACGAAAAAGTGAGGAGCGTTCTGTGTCTTTTGACAAAAGCTATAGATCATTCTTAAAGCAGTTACTTGGCTAAAAATTAAATCCCTAGTTCACCCTTTACCCCAAATATAGCTGATCAGCCAAGACATGTCTAATGTCTGAAGTGCGCCTCTACAGTTGAACGGTAACTTTTTCTCCCCTCCTCTTAACTCTGCAGGTACTCAGTCAGGGCAGATGTCGGGAGAGGGTAAGGCTGGGCCTCCAGGCGTGGGGCCCCGTGGTGGCTTCCCCCTGGGCAGGGGTCGAGGGCGCTTTCCAGGTCCTGCGGGCCCTGGGGGTGACCGGTTACCTGGACCTGTTGGACCTGGAGCACCCCCGCCGAACTTTCCAGGTAATAAGTGACTTTATTCAGCTGTATCTGTTGGATTTAGGGGGTGTGTTATGTTGGATTCTTTATATGGTTTATAAACAAAGACTCAATTACAGGAGCCCAAGGTTCATTTGTATTTCCATTACACGGTGTATCAAAAGAATGTTTTTTCAATATCACAATGTGGCAAACAATTCAAAACTTTCAATCTTTTCAGTTTTTTTAATTCTTATTCAAATAAATGAGATCTAGGTTAACCTTATATTTTGCCTAAGTTTGTAAAAATAAGTGGCAGAAATAGGTTTTAAAAGCTATACCAGAGAAAAAACATTCACTTCCCTAAAAACCTTTCATTGAATGGTTCTTAACATGATGTGTGACTGAAGTTTTTTTTTTGTTTTTTTTAAGTCTAAAGATCCTCAGTGGAAAGGTTTTGTATGAATTAAAGGACATTAATTAAACAGTAAATTTTTGTTTTAAATCTGAGTGTTCAAACAATTGTGAGTATTTAATATTTATATTAAATTTATTTATTTGGTATTGTTCATCAATTATCGTGATACACTTGCTATCACAAAATTTGCTAAATTTTTATATTGTCACAACTCTATATTATTGACATGGATGCATATGTAGATGAAATTGGATTTTTATTTAGTCATTCAGTAATGGCCTAATATGGTCTTTAGTAATGGGTTTTTTTTTGTTTGTTTTTTTTTTTCTTATATATAAATACTCAGGAGGTATGCAAGGCCCTCCTCGACCACCGCCTGGACCACCAGGTCCGCCAGGCCCCCCTGGTCCCCCACCCCCTGGTCAAGGTCTACCCCCGCCCCTCTCCGGCCCTCCCAACAGAGGCGACCGCCCCCCTCCACCTGTCATGTTCCCTGGTCAGTTTGGTCAGCCCCCAATGGGTCCCATGCCCCCTGGCCCGCCTCCACCGGGCTATGGTCCTCCTCCAGGCCCGCCCCCACCACAGCAAGGCCCACCCCCTCCTGGCCCATTCCCTCCCCGACCGCCTGGTCCTATTGGTCCGCCTCTGGCCCTGGCTCCTCCCCCTCACATGCGGGGCCCTCCTCCTGGTGGCCCACCTCCAGCCCCCCACGTCAACCCTGCCTTCTTCCCTCCACCGGGAAACAACAACATGCCCTCATCAGACAGCAGAGGCCCACCTCCAAACGACCCGTACGGACGCCCGCCTCCATATGATAGAGGAGATTATGGCCCTGGCAGGTAAAGAAACTCATCACTCTCCTCTCAACACTCAGTTTGCCAAAAAATAAAGATTCACCCAATTATCCGGGTTAGCACCTAGTTAGTACTGTATTTTGCCTGCATTCTTACAAATGAAGGGGCTGAAAAATGAAAGAGCTATGTTATAGAAAAAAACACTTCTGCTTCTCTGAAACATCTGCCTAATTTTTCCTGTGACCTAAAATGTAGTCCAGCAGCCAAGTCATCTTTGGTGTCTGTCTTTTTTGTAATTTTGTTAACATTTTTTCTCAAGTGAGCTACAGCAGCATTACCTCAGTTACTACTGACAGCCTGCCTCAACCTGGGTTTTATTCTGATTGTTCAGTTTCTTATTATAAGCAATGTGAAATTGACTGTCATTCAACAGTGTGCAATATTTTTTTTTTCCTTCTGCACATATGTTAAAAGCAGTAAGACTGGTGACTTCTGAAGCTGAACTTCGTGTTGGGTTTAGGGCATCCTCGAACAGTAGCATTGCTGCTTTGCCTACTTTGACCTCTGAAATGATGAGACTTTGTATAGCAGCACTGAGGATCCAGAATAGAAGAAACACCAGTTATAACAGTGTCTTGGCATGACCCTTCAAACATTACTTCACTATTAACTTAAAAAAAATAATAAATAAAAACACACAAAAGAGAGACTCTGTGATGCACATTTAGGAGACTGCATTAGATTGTAGAGCTGTTTTTATTTTTGTTTTTGCTGTTTATTATAATATGTCGCTTACTTTCTATACAGGGATATGGATGCAGCTCGGGCCCCTCTGAGTGAGGCAGAGTTTGAGGAGATAATGAACCGGAACAGAGCAATTTCCAGCAGTGCTATATCCAGGGCTGTTTCAGATGCCAGTGCAGGTACACATACGCTTATCTCCCATGTAATCTACAGGAGGTCTGTGGGTCATTGGAGAGAATGGAAAAAGCATGAAATCAATTTGGGGCAATTAAGGCCTTTAATGAGAGGGCTTAAAATTTTTCTTTTCTGTTAGGAATTAGACCAGAGTATTCGTTTGAAGTCTGAAGCATCGTATCTACATGATATCAGCTTGTGTTGTGGAACCCTTTAATTGTGTTAATTTCTGACGACCCACAAAGGCACCTCTTGTTTGGGATTTAGCTCTAAGATGCTGCCTGAGTATTACATTTTCTGAAAGACTGATGAAAAAGAGAGCTATAACTACTAAAAATGAAATACTTGCTTATGGCTACCTACAGACAGTTGGAAAAATGCTAATTTCCCACAATATGAGAAGAGAAATGTTGTAAAAAGGAGGTTGTAAAACTTGAACTTGATGGATTTCTCCCCTATCAAGACCCATCTGATTTTAACTGGCTCAAAACAGCATTAAAAAGTCACAAAGTAGCACTAAAAATGTGATTAAACAACTATAATTTAAATGTGTTGATACGTGCAGATACCTTGGTGTGTGTTTAATTTTTTTTACTATTCTCTGTGGTTAATTTCTTAAACTGTATGTTGCAGCGGATTACGGCAGTGCTATTGAAACTTTGGTGACTGCCATTTCATTAATCAAGCAGTCGAAGGTGTCAGCTGATGACCGCTGCAAAGTTCTCATCAGCTCCCTGCAAGACTGCCTGCACGGCATTGAGTCCAAATCCTACGGCTCTGCCTCCAGGTAAACCACGGCAGATCATCTGCTATAATAATAATAATAATAATAATAATAATTTAAAATTCTATGTGTGAAGTAACCTTTTATTGTTTGTGTGAATTTTTTGTTCTGCGAGTCATTAGGTACCAATGGATTAGTACTGAATAGTGTATATTGAGATTGCATATTTTAAGTTGATGCTCTATATTTTAAAAAATGTACTTAAGACATATATAAACACACACACAAATATTTTTTGTGTTCCGTTTAATATAGGTGTCTTGCTCAAAGAATTAACAGATTTCTTACTTGGGTACATGTTTTGAGATTTATGTTTATTTATCCATTCATTCAGTAATTCAGGTTAAACTACCATGAAGTCAAATTTTGATCTGGCACTTTTGCAAAAATTACTACTTGCTTGTAATTTAGGTTATTTTATTTGAAAGACATTCTCAGTTTGTCTTTATAGGAGAATGGGGAAAAATGTTCTTACGTAAACATTTGTTAATGAACACAAGATTTTATTCCATGCATTTGTGGGCCTTTTTTTATTTATTTATTTATTTATTTTTTGGTTCATTCATCATGAAATATTCACAAAATATAAAGATAGTGGGCAGCTGGGGCAAAAAAAGTAATGCAAATTTAATGTTTGAGTCACATTATACTCATTACACTAACACAGTGTGAGTTTGATATAAATTGTGTGTTTGATATAAAATTTGTGTTTTCAGATGTGTAAAAGAAATAAATAAAAACAATAAAAATGGAGTTCTCTTTCTTAGCAGACGAGAGCGTTCCCGGGAGAGAGACCACAGCCGGTCTCGTGAGAAAAGCCGCCGTCACAAGTCTCGCAGCCGTGATCGCCATGAGGACTATTACCGCGAGCGCAGCCGTGAGCGTGACCGGCACCGCGAAAGAGACCGCGATCGCGAAAGAGACCGCGACAGAGAGAGGGAATATCGCCACCGTTAAAAGGAGAGGAAAGGTGTGTATATTTTGTCCATCTGTGTGTCTGTCATTTGTATTTCTCTTTTCTATTGAACCAAAAGAAGAAGGTGAGATCCCAAAGATGGCCACGGCACCAAGAATTCTCAGGGAAATTCCAGATAGGTATGTATGTAAAGGTAAGACTCTTCACATACTATACAAACATACATATACTGAGTTCTTCCTCTTTTTTTTCTTTTCTTTTCTTTTCTTTTTTTAAGTAATGTGTAATGTTGTGTGTTTATGTTGATTTGCTATCAAATTTCTCTGCTTTCTTGTCATTCCATACTGAACGCCATAGCTCCCTGAGTTGAAACTGATTCATTCAAATATTTGATTTATTGTGTCTGAGTCCCATTTTCAATAAGTGTTAGATTTGTTCAAGCAAATCTGTTGTGTTACAGTGAATGTAGTGCGATGTTTTTTGGATTCTGGGACCTTTTGAAAATTTGATGTCATGAAAATGGCATTAATTATAATGTCTTTTAAATTTGACATCATTCTGAACATTGGGGAAAAAAAGGTGTCATTGGTTGGTTTATACTATTTTAATTTATTTTCTTATTTATTTATTTATTTTTTGACTTAAGTGTTAATGTAAGGCCTGAATCATTAGGATGTGCTGACAGTGTTTTTTGTGCAGTTCGAGTGTTGTCACCAAATTTCTGTGGCTGTAACTTGTGACAAAAAGTCACTTTTTTAATCTTTCAGATTTGTTTTTGAAATAGTTTTTTCCAAATTACTTGCTGGACTTCTTGCCCATCAAGACAAATTTAGCATTTGCATTCCTGTTAATAAGGAGACAAGAAGTGCCTCAGAATAGCATTAGTGTATCAAAGAGGCATGAAAGGTCTTTCATTATAGAAACATCCACGTATACCTCCTCAGTACATAACGTTAGGTCTTTTAAATGCTGTTGATGCCATTTCTGGTGTGATATTCTGTATCTTAGTGTACTTACTAGTTTAGTGTTATGGTTATTTGAGTTGATGTTTGAATGGTTCTAAAAATTTTTTTTAATTCTGGCACATTTTGAAATTCTACTGCTTAGGTCTTTTTCCATTTTTTGAAACTTTTTTTTTTCTAATTTTTCTAAACAACAAATCAGCCACTCGTGTACAAACTAGATCTTTTTTAAACTGCTTTATGTATTTATTACCAGCCATTCTGTACAACTGACAAATTTAAGTATTTCGTAATGTGCATTTAGAAGATGTGTGTTGTTGTGATTGTTTTTTTTGTTTTTGTTTTTTTTTTTGTGGGGCTGATAATGCACTACACTACAATAGGTTAAAAGCTTATTGGTTTTATTTAAATGTTAAGAAATTTGAGAAATAGTTAGAAAAAGGAAAGCATTCCTGGCCATAAATCTGAGCCAGCTTCCTTTAAATTTTATCAGGTCCCTTTTTCAGATGAGAATTTGTTCATGAGAGAAATCGCCATGGTAAATACAGTAGCTTTTTGGAGTATATTTGTCATAGTTTTTTAAATAGAGTAGAAGTAATATGACAATTCCACTCCATTTGCATTATTAACTTAAGATGTATCTAAAAGAATAAAATATAATTGAGTCAAATTCATTTGAATAACTTGTATCCTAAATATTGATATAACAGGACACCCAGAACTTTTGTGGTTTGTGTATATTAGTGTGAAAAAAGGTGGTGCGGGTAATAATAATAAAAATAATTAATAAATATGCATTGTATTCCCAGGTACTAAAACTTTATCATAATGGTCCTGTTCAACTGTAAATAGTGTGGAATTGCTATATGCGGTAGAAACATTTGTGTGTAAACTTCAGGTTATTTGCTCCCTCTTTAATTTTTTGCACACTCTAGTCATCTTTAGAATGCTTTAAGTATAATATGGATAAGTGAGATTCAGTTTACAAAGAAAACTGTGGATGAATATTTTGCTACTGATGCTCTCTTCTGTATTTAACATAAATTGATCTGATTCCATTATTGCTGAAAGATTGAGTATCTAAAATGTTTTCTCCCATATGTCAAGTATTATTTGTTTCTAGCTTGGTGTAACTGTTAGTATACCAACCATGACAAATTGCCTCAGTACCAATTGCACTTTATCATTTCAATTGCAGTGTATTGAGAGAGAGGTTTTGTCTGGAATAGATGTTTAAAAAAAATAGTACGTTTTAGGTAGAGGGGCAGATTTACTAAGCATGTGAACTGCTGCTGCTGATTTTATTTATTTATTTATTTATTTTTTCGGTAACAGTATTTATCTGCTTCAATTATTTATCTGGTGAACTGACAAGTCTCCCATTTTCACATGCATGTAAAGTACCATTTGATCTTATGAGAACCGTTTTTAATCAGTTTTTACATTTTAAAGAGAATAAAGACCTGTTCAAGCTGGATTAGTTTTACCAGAGGAGGTCCAGTAATGTATTTGACTAATTCATATGGGATAAGAGATCTGTGTAATTTGCCCCAAATAGACTGGAATGAAACATCATCACATGGACGCTTTCGTCAGTGGTTTGCAAAAGGTACCACGCTTCCAAACAATCACAACACATTATGAGGCTAATCTAGACTAGCATTTGGCTAGTTAACGGGTTCATTCAGCTTACTAAATGCTGCCCAGCAAGACAGAAAACGCATTGCCTTGCGAGACTTTTGAAATTTAATTTTCCCTCTCCCTGTAATTCAGCCATCTCCAGAAATATTTTGGATTTCAGTAGTTGTCCTATACTTGAGGATTAAAGAATTCGGTGTAGTCATGCTCCATTCGACCTGTAGTCTTGTCTTCAGGTCACAGAAAAGGGAGAAAAAGGAAGCGCTGTTCATTATCCGGATTTGTTATTACATTGTGATATTAATTTGAACAAGGCTGCTGAGGGAGCTCAAAGTTTGGCAAATTATAGAAGGTAATTTGCTCCAGAACTAACCTAGCAGACTTGTAAAAACTCCGGACATTGCGGATTTGTACTGGATTAAAATCACGGTCTCGTCGCTTACCACTCAAATTACAGTAGTTTTTCATGTAAAACTGATCCAGCTTGAGTAGAGCTTCAGTCATTTCACACATTTTGTGCGAGTGTGAAAGATCACACTAAAAAGAATTGAACTCTCTTCCAAAAATAAATAACTTGTGTGGGGATGTTCCTGGCATAAACCTCACCCCCTTTCCCACCCGTTTCTTTCTGATAGGCTGCACCCGCATGCCTAATTTTGATCATTGGCTGTGGTTTCTTTGAAAAAGAGTAAATGATGCACTTAATTTTCCATCATTTGTTTCAAGTGTTAATTTTATTGATATTTTTTTGATTACTACATTGTCATCATTGTACCTTTTTATTAAATAAGCTTCTTCATTAACACAGTCCAGCAAGTGCCCTGATGCTCAAAATTGCATACACAAACAATGCATAATGCATTTACAATGCATATAAATTCTAGAAGTTGCCATATGACAGTGCTTTGTTTCTTTCTCCATGTATAGCGCCCCCACTACGGCTTGATGAATCTGCCCCATAGGTTAAAGCGTTTGCCAAAGTTGTTTTATGCTGGAAAAAAAATGTTGCCTGCTGTTCATTATTGGTTGCAAGACTAGTACTAAATAATTTAGGATAGTTGGAATACCTTTAGCATAAAAAGGTTGAATCATTAAAGAAATAATTTACCAGTTTCATCATGTAATTAAATTTGTCATTACACCAGTGTCAGAATTTTAGTTACATATGTTCTAGCCATGCGCAAAAAGAAAATTCTGGGATAGAATTTTCATGTTCCCATCCAGTCTATGCTGTCTATGATGGCAGGTCAAGTTTAAAGATCAGGAAGTTTTATAAAATAATGAATTTCAACATGTACGAAATATTATTCCGAAGTTCCTAAGTAAAATGGAATTAAGTGTATGAGAGTTGGGGATGTTTGACAGTAACAGTGATGCAAAATTCGAATATGATCACATTTCATCAAACATACACTGAACATTTAATGTGTCATGAAGTATGGATTTTTAAATGTTAAACAAATGTCAGTGAATTTCAGTGCTGTCAGTTGTGTTACAAAAATAGTAATTTCACTTATTAATAGTTGGTCATTAATATTAATAGTTGGTCTGATCAGTCGTGCTCTGTGTACATGCAAACCATGTGATCCTGAAGGTTAATTTGAAGTTTTGGAATGTGTTAATGTGCTACAAATTAAAGGAGTTTAGCATCATCTCCTTCTCTTTGGCTGTAAATGATCTGTTATGAATTATGTATTTAGGTGTTTAAGTCAGAGAGTTTCGGTGCTGTCGACATATTGGACAAATTGTTTTGCAGCACCTTTTACTGTTGTAATGTAAACCCACTTGAATTCTGACTTGCAGTTAAATTGCTTTAAAATTGTGCTCCTAATTTTAAATATATTAAGGATATTTTAACAGTAATATTTATGCAATTGAATGTATTTTAAAAGAATGAGTACAGTTGGAGGACAATGTTAAAGTAGTTTAATTGCACCCAGCTGGTTTCAATAAGGATCACAAAATTAATTCATTTTTAGATGTTCTTGTGTCATGGACCATGGCCTTAGTTCTTAAAGAGGTTTTAATTATGAAATCTAAGTCAAATTGCCCCTTTGTGTAAGCTGAACTAGTTATTTTCTTTTTTTCTCCCTTTCTTACTGTTTAGCAGTAATCCCATTACTCCACGTTCTCATAGGTTTGTTTTTTCTTTTTTCTTTTTTTACTTTTCTGAGGTTAGACTGGAATATAAATTTGACGTATTTATACTGCAGCAAGGATATTTTTTCTGTTGTGTGAAGCTGAACTAACATTACATTTGCTGCACTAGTATTATCATTTAACTTCCTCTTTCTCTCTCAAAGTATTATCATGTTACAGGGTTGGACAAATTAACCTTAATGCTTAACAAAGCAAAGGCATCTGCCTTTCCTGAAGCATCTTTAAATGGGAATATTGGGTTAATTAAAAGACCTGAGGAACAAAGTATACAATCAGCTATGCAACGACTCAGTTTTTTTAATGCAGCGTAGTTGTTATTAACCCATTTAGTTGTCCAACAATAAAATTTAGCAAGATAACTTGTTTTGATTAATTTTATGTAGTTACATGTTGTATGAACATTTAACAGTACCCTTTTTAATTTTTTGGATTAAATTTTGGATTAAAAATTTTTGTACTTTTATACACACAATTTGGATTTTTTTTTGTTCATCATTAAATTGTTATTCATAATTAAGAATGTTTCTTTAGTAACTGAATCATGTAATTATTTCCATTAAGTCTTTATTGTAAGCTATTAAGCTGTTTATTAACTAATTATATACTCTGACACACATTGAAGGGAAAGTCTTTGCTCAGAGTAAAGTTGAGATTGCTGCTTGTAAAGTGATGTTCTGGGGAGGTAATTTGTTCAGCCCTGGTTTTCATGTTATTCTGCTGTTAAATGGATCACTAGCATTAGCCTTCTCACTTTTTGTCACATCATCTCAAACATTTCAAAAATGTCATGATTTCACATTAACAATATATGGGTGAAATACTATATTAAGAATTTAAAGATGAATAAAGACTGATATTTAATTCAGTGAAGGGCATAATCAGGACATTTCAAACATTGTATTTTTAATTTTGTCCTAGGCGAAACGTTCAAGTATCTTATAGTAAACTTCAACTTTTTAAGTCTTAAATTTGTAGGTTTTAGCCAATTTGTAGTCTATAAAATGTCTTGATTATACCATATGTGTGTGTATATATGTATGTATGTGTATGTATATATATATATATATATATATATATATATATATATATATATATATATATATATATATATATATAGTTACTGAGAACTTTTATAGTTGAGGCAGGTATTGCAAACAGGTAAAAGTAAGTAATAGATTTTACTCTCTCTTACTGGAAAGATAATGTTCATATGGTGGTAACTTGTCATGTAATGGACTTGCAGAATTACCAGAAATAAGTGTGTGTGTGTGTATATATATATATATATATATATATATATATATATATATATATATATATATATATATATATATATATATATAATTTAATACCAGAAAACTCAGCCAGTTCTCTAATGTGCTTATTAATCTGTTAAACTACAGAAGTTTCAAGTTGTGTTGAAAAGTGCATACAGCAATGAAGTTTGGTTGGGGTATGTTTTTTGACTGTATGTCTTAAAGTGCTTAATTCTCAGTTTTACCCCTCACTGTCCTCAAGGGCAGAGTTGGACGGGAAGATTGTTTTATCACTCTAAGCTTTGTTACTCAAAACGGTCAAGTCACAAAATAGTAGCACTTTAAGATCATTGGCCCTTATTCAACAAAGTTGCATAAAAAAGTGCATATTTGACCACTTTTAATGACATATGAACTCCTCTGCATCTGATTTATGAAACATTTGTATGATGTGGAATCTGTGTGTGCATTTGTTTTATTTTGGGCAGTGTCAGATTTATAAAACGAAAACTTGGTGTAATGTCTTTAGATTGTACATTGAATAGTTGTAGCCTCTGTTTATATCACTGTAAAATAAGTGCACCCACTGCATTACCATATGCATAAATTAGTATAATTGGATCTTTTTTATTGTTATTCTTATTGTTGGTGTTATAAATGATATTAGTTTTGTTTTTCAACTGCAAATCGGGCATTTTTTTATTTTCAGGTTGTTAAATTATACTCAAGTTTACATGCACTCAGACGAGAGTTTGATCGTACAGACGCATCAAAGATGAAATCGAGGAATACCAAAAATGTCGGTGAAATTTGTGTGCGCTCATGTTACGATCAGATTTGACTGCATGTGACTTTGATGACCAAGGGCTAATATGATTTTAGAACATGTAGAATCACACCCAAACATTTATAAGCAATAACTGCTTTTGTATTATTGTAATTGTTCTGTCTGTAGAATATTGAGGAACTTTTAAACACATCATAAATACACTTACTGCCTTTTTAATATGCTTTTAATGCTGTTTTTCTTCCACAGTGTGATCTAGTTGATGTGTGCAATGCTGGTTCTAGTTCATTTAGCTTTGTCCTGCAGGAAATTTGAAAACTTTGAAAAGTGGTCGGAGCGCCCCCTGCTGTTTGCGTTCAAAACTTAGGTTAACAGTGAATTGTAACATATTGTGCCGCGTCACCCCCATCTGTAGTTATATTAGGCACTGTGTCCATGATCTAAATGATTGATTAACGGTGAAAAACAAATACAGTTTTAAAGTGCTTCCCCCAAAACAGACTATAAAGTCTGTTGGGCTCATGACACTTCACATAAGTGGAGTGGCAATGGCATCAAGCCATGGGATTTGTAGTTCAGTTATATTATAATCTTTATTTATATGACTAACCAAAAATATTCTGCTACTATGGTGTTGTCAAGCACAGTAGCTGTGTATGTTTTTTTTCTTTCCTTGTGCGATTCATAATTTTTTGAACGTAACCAGCAGATGGTGTAATTCTGCACTTTCCCTGCACTTTAGTTGTGACTGTACTTGTCTTCAGAATGGCCTGTTTGTAGAGTGATTGCAGGTTGTGGTGTTTAATATTGTTGTTTCATCTTAGATTATTTGTATTTGAGCTTTAACTTGTTTTTAGTTGTAAATGTAGTTCTGATATGCCTTTGGTTGTATGCTTATGTGTATGTGGGAGTGTGTGTATGTAAGTGGGAAAACATCATCTGTGTGTGTTTCTGGGTTTGATCCCCAAACCAAACTGCCCCCTCCGTTTTGACACCTTTCAGCTAAACAGAAGAGGAGGAGGAGGAGGAGCATCGCAAGCACCTTGCACTCGTCCATCAGCACCCTTCATCCCTCCATCAGAGGACAAGACTTGGCCCGTGCTTCGCGGTGCTCCAGGACAGATCTGTAAAAAGAAAACAAATGCATATACACACACTCTTAATTCCCAACAGCTTTTTTATTTTTTGCATTTTATTTGATGAGATACTTGTGTAATTTGAAAAAAGTACGTTCAGCTTCTCAGCGGAAGAGAATAGCCTGCCTGCTCTATGCTCAACCGGAATACAAAAACTGACTGCTATAACGTGTAATTTGTCAGCTAAACATGTTGTTTTTATAGGGAACTTTTGGTTTCATCCCCTCCCCCTTTACCTTCTTCATAATGTTTGTAAGTGTCTATGCCTTGATTTATTAAATAGACTCTGTGTTGTAATAAAGTGTTTACTGGGGTTGCCATGTGTTCATACTCTGAATTCCTTGATGCATTAGTACTGCAGTAAGAATAGTTAGGTTTGTGCTGGGGCCATTTTATGTGTATCAGTCGTACTTGATGCTGGGGCGGAAAAATGATCCCCTTGTGCCATGATGACTTCAAGTTCAGGACCTGTTCAGGAGTGATTTTTTGTGAAGTGTCTTTTCTTAAATTCTTTAAGCACAAAATATGAATATATTAAACTGTAGTACAGTGTAAATATGCCAGAAAAGCTTCTTTGGACTGGGGATTAACCAATATGAAATGTTGGAGGCAAACGCAGATTCTAAAGGGCTGGAATAATTCTATGACAGCTGTTTAAGGGTTAGCCCTGTTATTGAGATGTCACACGTTCAAATCAGAGTTAACTGATATATCGATCGAGCTCTAAGTTGGACTGATGCAGATGGAAGAACCACTTTGGTCCCCAGTACAGCCTTTCATTTCAGTGGTTCTTTAAAAAAAAAGGGCTCCATTGAAAGGAGCTTTAGGGACCAAACAGTGGTTCTTCTTTGGCACTCTAAAGAAACCCTTTTTGGCACCTTTAGTTTTAAGATTGTAGTTTAACATTTAGAGGTTAGCGCAAGTCATTTTTGCTTGTACATTCAAATGCAGGTTTTTTAAAAGTATCTTAATTGAAAACAAATTTGGACATCTGAGCCACCAGCTGTAACCTGTGCTTCCACATATGAACTTTTGAACTGATGGGCCAGGTATTATGAAAGTTTATTGCACTGATTCTTCTTTGTTTTGTTTGTTATTTTTTTCGTTGTCCTTTTTTTTGTTTTTTTTTGTTTTTTTTTACTCCCTCGACAACACTAAACTACTTGAACTTTTGATGCACTGTTGTAGTAGAAGTGAGGTATTTGGTTTAATGGCCACTTTAATGTTTGCATATACACAGTGTTACTAATGTCAGTGTCTTGAGTATATGCATAACAGATTGTTACTGTACCATTCTTTGTCCCAATTACGACCTTCAGATGTACCGTAAAAATGTCATGTGTAAGAAGCTTGTGATGGGCATGGAAATGTAATTGTAATGTTAATATTCCGATCTTTGATTAGGCTCCAGATATTGTGTTTTAAAGGAAGGTCTGTGTTGATATTTCAGATAGTTTGGAGTTAGATATTAAGCAGTAAAATAGTAAGACATGGGCATTTTTACTTAGTGACTTGGCACCTGTGTTGGGAATTGGTGATTTCAGTAGAGAAATGTGGAGCATTTATGAAAGCTGCTGTCATGATTACCCAAGTCATGTTACTATTTTAACAAGAACTTCACCTAAAAATCCTCTCTTTTCAGAATGCAGTCCGACAACTTTTAATGCATTGTGATAGTAGGTGTGAGGTATTTGGGGAAAGCATACTTGGTTTATGAGCTTTTTGACCTTTGAATATATACAGTGTAGTAAATGTCATTTTGTTAGTATACACATGACAGATGGTTAACGTACCAACCTTTGTCTCAATTATGAGCTTTAGATGTACCCTAGAAATGTCTTGTTTAACATGTATGATTGACATTGAATGTAATGTTACTCCAAATTTTGATAAGGGTCCAGACATCAGCTTGTTTATGTATGTATTCTAATGATAAGTAGGAAGAGTTTAGGATATTAAGCAGTGAGATAGTGAGGCATCATGGGCATTTTACTTGTAACTTGGTGCAGGTTCATTTGAATAGATATTTGAACAAGAATTTCAAAAAGTTATGATTTAATATCTTAACAGGAGCTTCACCCAAAAATTGTATTTTGCAATTTATATCAGTTTGTCACAAACTTGCTGAGCAAAAGCCTTTTGACCTACTAAATGCACTCAAAAACCATTATGAAACTGTTATGAAAAGCTCAGTATAGCCCAACTTAGAGAACAATTTGCTGTAAAAAAATATACATATCATCATATATATATATGTGATTTTTGGGTGACATTTGTGGTTTTATTGGTGTTTTTGGTAAACACTTGTAGATTTGACAGTTGAAAGTTGGAGTAAGAACACGTTAGGCTGTTTTTCTTATGAATAATTGACCATCAGCTGAAGCAGAAAAATGGAGTCTCCAGGCCCTTCGTCTCTCTGGCCTCCAGGAGTAGAAGGTAAGTTTCCCAAGGTTATAGTTGTAATTGAAGTTAAGTATTTTTATGTATCTATTTATTTTTTTTATATTTTTGGATTGCTGTAGAAGTAAAAGTAACTCTTTAAAGAAACTGAACATCTAGGTTTAATTTGAATTTCTGTCCACATGCTTGAAATATTCTTTTCACTATATTAGTGATATTCTCAGGAAAATAGCTTTTTTAAGGTCAGGCTTGTGTATGCAACTTATCACAAGAAGTGTTGATCACAGGTTTGTAGTGTTGACTGTGATACAAATGAGGGCACTTGGTCTTGTGGTATATTTGGCGTATTTGAAACGCAGCCCATGATTACTTCATTTCAACAATGCTTCAGCTGTAAATTGAACAGTCAGATTCAGCCTGTTTTTGATGAATGGACTAATTAGGCTGAATGAAAAGCATGTGGCTTTATGTACTTAGCAATTCACAGACTTTGTTATTGTAGTTATTTTGACAATTCATCAATAAATTATTCAAAAGCAGTTTTTGTTTCTACATTTTTCATGCCATGTAAGCAAAATTAAGATGTTTAGTTTCAGCTTACGTTTGTGCTTGTGTGCAACCAGAGATGCACCTTTTAGTGATTTTGTGTTTGCTAACTGAACCGCTTACCATCAGCTCTAATGGAACTATAAAACCTTGTGATCAAATTTGAAAGGCCTTTGGATTCCATATCTGAAGTTTTAAATTTCTTTTCTTCCATATGTTCTCTAAGCTCTGAGCAAAAATCTGAAAGATTTAAACCAAATGGCTAAAAAGTTTCATTTTTTTGTTTTGCTCAATTTATCATTAAATTGTATTTTGGTCATGAAACTATTGATTTTGTTTTCCAAACATAAAAAAATCCAAATTTGATTATGGACACGAGTATGAAAATGAGCTGATCATCTGAGATAGCTATACAGAATGTCTTCATTTTAAACCAAGGCTGCCCAAAGTTGGGGAAGTTTAATTTCACCTATCAGAAAGTTACCCTAACCCTGCCCTCTCTGAGTTCTGTATAGAACCATTTCATGCCTAAATGGTTCTTTGCATGGTGAAATGGTTCCTCTGTCTGATGTAGAAGGTGTTGTATATGGGTCTGTAAAACACCAAAGAGGGTAGAACTACTGATACGAACTCGACATTGTAACAATAGTCGAACCCTTCCTGGTGCTATATAGAACCATTTAAACATAAAACGGTTTTACATAGAACTCAGTTCTAACTAGAACCATTGCCTTTACTAAAGAACTCTTGAAGTTTTTAAGTGTGTACGAAGTATTTTAGTAACAAAATATAGTGTAATGTTATAACTTTTATAAAAGATTTGAAATCTGTGTACCTTCTTTGTTTAAATATTGATGTCTTTTTGGACCCTTGGCCCACCACAAGCATTGCACTCTGGCCCCCAAAGGAAAAAGTTTGGAGACCCCTGCATTAGATCAGAACACGTTCTGTGGCATTTTGCTCATCATACTAAATTTAGGACATGACGTGGACATGAATGGGTAAAAGTGAGAACTGAAACAATGGGAGAATGCCTTAATATAAATGTACAACGAGTAATAATTCATTGGATCATCACCAGATGATGCATCTTGTATCTTTTATCCAGGTAATTCTTTGCTTTTCCCACATGAGGGCAGCATTGTTAACGTAAAAGAGCAATATCAGTATTTTATTTTCAGAGCTGGCGTAGAGCCATAGCTTTAAGACTTCGTTGGTTTAGGCACAGGTTACAGAGCCTTTCGAACATAATTGTAATGATGCTACAGTTTCGTCTGTAAGTGTATCTATATTTTTATGAAGAGGCTGTTGTGTGTATAGTTTTGGGGGTCTGGTGCATGGTCTCGATTTTTTTCAATGGCCTCAAAATGTTTAATCTACTTTTAAAGCAGCAATACACCAAAATATGGCTATTTGGTCAAGTTGGCACACAGTAGATCTGCATCTTTGCAATTTTTATTAAGCACAGAGCTAGTATGACTTGAATGCTATATCTGTCCACTTGGAATGGGCACAAATAAAGCAAAGGTATTAAACGTCGAGCAATATTTCCTTTGTCTACGATGAGCTGCAAGACAATCAGAAGTTACGTACGTTTCATAGCCTAGATGAGAGTTTGTGTCATTGTGACATTTGATAGAATAGATATATTCCAGATTATTATTCGCAAATTAGAATATATAATGGGGAAAGTTAAGGATTAATTTTGAGCTTAAGCAAATCTCGCTTGCTTTCTTCTTGATTTCTAGTCACCATCAGATCTGCTCCTTCAGCCCTGTCCTTCTCTGTCAGCTCCTTTCTCTTCTTGCCTGTGCAATATAATTTTTTTTATTTTTATTAAACAAGTTTTTAAGGCCTTGGTGATTTAATAAGACATCTAACCCCTAATTGGCTTTCTGCAGGCTGAGGAAATGAGGGATATAAAATCATTACTATGAGACCTCACTGGCGCGAGCTTCTTGTAAACAGCAGCGTATACTGGTGCGATTCAAAATACTGAAGAAATATAACTTACAAGAACAAAAAATTCAGAAAGCTGCCTGTCTCACTTGTTCACACGGTAGGAGTTTTCTAAAATAGTTGGCTTGTCAGCGTGCTAATGTTAGCATTATATGGCCTGTCCTCTTTTCTTTACCTACAGTTAGCTTGCTAGCTCGTTAACAGGCCACCGGGCAAAAACTCAGTAGCTGGCTGTTCTGACCATGACTTGCCACAAATCCGAGCTTATAGCCAAAATCTTGTTATAACTTAAGTAGTTGCTGACTGACTTTACTTTGCAGAGCGAGTAGCGCCTCTTCCAGGTCTAATATGATTGGCTAACAGTTTACGAGGTCTGATATGATTGGCCGATTGCCTTTTCCTCTAATTTGCTA